ACTACTACTACGACGACGACGAAGACGACGACTGCTACGACCGTTAGTATCAGCATCATCATTACCATCATTTCATACCACTGTCATTCTCATATCACTACCCTAACTTACCCAATAAGCCAGGGAAATAAACGGTTAAACTTTGAGATTACTACTAAATTATGAGTACCCAAAAAGTTTACATAAAGGTTAGGTATTGAGGAACTAAGTACCATGCCCGCGGGCTTCTGAGGTCGCAACTTCATGCCTAGGCCCCAAAATACTTTGTCGTAATTTTCAGGTCGCTTAAGGCTCATGCAGTCCAAGCTTCAAGCCATGTAACGCGTTTTGTCGGCATTTAGCAGGTTTCCTCCGAAACTTGTAAGGGTTACATGAGGGCTCCTTTGGTTTTGATATGAGTCTGAAGGTCGAATGAGCTCGCCAAGGCTTTTTAGAAGGCTTGATGCTCGAGACAGTATGACAATTCCGTCATGCCCCCTGTATCGAGACCCCCGAAAGAAGGCTCCCCCAGGGCCTCGATTCCTAGATGCATCTGCGCTGCACCCCTGCTAAGCCCAGCCATACCATCGGGTCCAATGAGTAGGATGCCCTGATCCTATAACCCCTAAACATCGGACCCCTAAAGCAACACCCGAAACCCCTAGATCCTCCTCAACTAAGTCCCCGGATTCTTACAGCGGGTTTGTTAGGGATCCTTCAGGGAAGGGAGAGAGAGGGGGGCGGCGGGAATGTGACTTACTACACACCCATGCTCCCCAAGGTTCCCCAGGGATCCCTTGTATCCTCTACAGCCTGCATCAGGGTTGGGGGTTTCAGGGTTGAGGGTTTCGGGTTTCAGGGTTTAGGGTTCAGGGCTTAGAGTTTACGGTTGCAGGGTGTCAGGGTTTCAGGGTTAAGGTTTCACCCTGAGGTCTGAACCATGAGAGAACCGATCCCGCCCCCTTGAACCACCACTCTTGTGGTTGCCTGGGGTTCGCGTATGAGGCCAAGCGTCGACATGCGTCGTCGAGATCAACCTGGAGATTCCCAAACCCCTGAAAGGAACCCTGAAAGGGGGATATTATAAATACTGATTGCGAAGTATTCCAAAACCGCTACATGCCCATAGAAGACCATCAGAGAATCCCTACAAGAGATATTCTGAATTATCATGGTTACTACCGTAATATTTCTTCTGTTTATGTATACTTTGGCTACTCTCCTCAATTATTCAAGCCCCTCTGGCAGGGCTTTGGAGCTCAAAGGGCAGTGCGCGCCCAAACCGCAAAAACGAGTTAGTTTGAAGTTTGGGCGCACCCAGCCCTTCGAGCTCCTGCCGAACCTCAATCCCTGAAATCCAGCGCTCTTAACTCCGGGCTCCGTCACAAATCGCAGTTGCGTCGACGTTTAGGGTCAAGGGTTTGTGTTTTTTTTTTAAGGTGTTGCATCACTATTCTTGTCCTTCTTCTGATGGTTGGATGGACAGGGGGTCGAGGATGGTTGCTCACATTGCTACTCACCAGGACGGTCCCGGACTACAGGAAGGACAACGAACGATCGCGATTATAGGGGGTAAGTTATGTAGGCTGTAGGCCTCTTAGGATCCACACTACAATCAGCTTCAACCCAGAAGTGACCCGTGGCTCCTCCGACCAGTAAGCTTCCAAACCCTGTTGCACCCTAAACTCCAAATCTTGCACGCGAGGCGAGGCTCTGCACTGGGACACTCTGCCGCGGCGGCTTGGGCTTCGAGCTAGTGAAGCCCTCGCCTTGCTGTGAGGCAAAATGGGATATAGCCGCATCTCCCAGAGCCTTCGTTTCGGGGAGCGAACCCCCAAAGGGTCCAAGTAATAGTATAGTATACACTGTTGGGGCCCAAATACCTATTACTATTAAGTACCTACTATAATGGTACTTGGACCCTTTGGGACCTAGAGTGTCCTCGCTCGTCCTCGGTGGCAGCTCAAAATAGCTTGCGTGGACGAAACGCTGTGGTAGTCACACGTGTATCCACATCTGCCGTGCTCGCCCACGATGTTCCAACAAAAACCCGGTTCCCGAAGCCCTAACTCGCTAAACCAGCAAAGTCTCAAGCCCCAAACCCTCCAGACCCTACATCCTACGCCGGTCGTACTTTTTTTCTTGGGAGTCCTAAACCATGTTTGTCCATGAATGGGGCGACCCTGATATGACCCTTGCATAGTAGGATCCTTACAGAGCAGGGCCAATCGAGGACTGCTGACTCTTGTTGGGTGCCCACACGTCCCCCCCTCAAAACGAATCACAGTGAAACGATAGTAAAGGTCCAACTGTAGTTTAAGGTGAAAAGCTGAATAAAGGGGTATTGAAGGCTTTGACAAGCTCTGACCCCCCAATCTACAACTCTCGATCCTAAAAGCTCCATCCCTCTAAACCCTCATACCTTTGTGGGTCGCTTTGCATCACTGGGCCGTACCCCTCAACTTATCGAGGTTTTCTTGCCATGATTTAGACTTCGCAAAGGGCTTAGGGTTTAGGGCGTAGGGGAATTAGACGATATTGCGGTCCCTGGATACTTGCGCCGAAACTTGGACCGCAGGGGAGAGGCCCGAACCCGGCCTTTTCCTGCTCCATCGCGTCTGCAAGGTCCAGGACGATGCTCCAGGAGCTTAGTTTCCTGGGTTTGGGCTTTCGGGGTTTCGGGTGGTTGTTAAGGGGTTTAGGGTCTGGTGTGGTTTTACGGGGTTAGGGCTTTAAGGCCAGGGTGTGAAGCTAGGGCCACCAGCAGGAAACGCCAGAACTGAGATAAGAATATTACTGGCTGATCTGGCCGTCAAGTGCTTGCGGGTCTTTGGGATCCTAGGGTTTAGGGCTTCAGGGCTTTGGAAATGAGTCAAGGGCCTCCGCTCCCTCGCATGCTCTTCATAATCAACTCACCTTCCTTCATACTGTTAAGCGTTACAAACTCGACCTCGTCAGAACAGGGGTTAAGGGTACCACCGCACAACCGTAGGAAGCCCTGCCAGAACCAATTATAGGAGCCTTTCGACTACCTGGGCTGGGACAAAAAATACCTTTCGCAAAAACACCGCCTTGCTTCTCAGTTTCTTGCCTTGTGGCACCCCAAAAGCTTTAGGAGTTGGGCGTTTTGGCTTTAACGGTCATAGGGTTCAAGTCAAGGTTCCGGGGTCAAAGTGCGGGTTGACCCTCTGTGAGGCTAGAAGTGCTCACACAAACCCTAACCCTAAACCCTAAACCCTAAATCGAGCTCCTGGCCAAGACACTCGTGCGCAGAGAGAAGGGCATTGTAGTGGTAGGCATTTGCCTTGGCATGCCGGGGGTTAGGGTTTAGGGTTTAGGGTAGGGTTTAGGGTTTTGGGGTTTAGGGTTTAGGGTTCTTTCTAAACCAGGCGCTCTCTTCGTGTCCCGCATGCACGTTGTAAACTGGCGCTCTTGGATAACGATCGTCCGACAAAACAACTCTACTGTCGCAAGTCTCAGGACCTTCAGCCATAATTTCGCAGACCCCTATGGAGCCTTACGAGCCCGTATATTAAATCCCAATGTAGGGGCCCAAATAATTAGCAATAGACTTTTGGGGGTTCCATCGTTTAACTATGGTATAATATGGGCCCCAAAACCCTATTCTAACTATTCAGGCCCCTAAACCCTTCTAGTAGCCCGTATAGAACCCTTTAAGGAACCCTTCAAAGGAACCCCCCAAAACTCTAATTATTAAGGCCCCTGGATTAATTATCTGGACCCTTCCTTCCGCTGTGTTCCTTACTTTGCGGATCAGAGCCTTGGTCCCGAAGTGGTGGATCTTCACCATGGGGGTGATTCTCTAACTTGGGGACGCCTTTTCGGTCTCCCAAAATGGTACGGCCTCCCTTATAAAAAAGGACCCTAGAGGGGACCCTAAAATTTAGAGAACTTCCCATGTGAATGGGATCCCAATCTGGGGCCGCATGTCAAGGCCTTAAAGGAAGCCTCGGGTTTGGGTTGTTAGGGTCTGGGGGTTCAAAGGTTAGGATTTAGGGTTGTAGGGTTTAAGTTAGACGGTTTTAGCGCTTAGGGTTGAAGCTTTTAATTTAGGGTTTACCTAAAGGCTCCATTGTAGTTCCTTTTTGGGGTTACCTTATAGGGTCCTAAGTACATAATTGGTTAAACCAAACAGAGGAACTACAATGGAGACAAAAGGTACGGTTTAAGGTTCGGAGTTTCGGCCTGATGAATACGGCTTCGATGGTTTGAGGGCTGGGCAGGGCTTTAGAGGGCTGATTGAATAAGGTTTCGCAGTGCAGGGGTTCGATGAACAGGCCGTCCTGCTTCCTGGGCTTAACATATGGGAGTTTCCGAAATTTGGGGTGTACCTTGTTTTGGGGTCCTTATAATAGGGATCCTACTATTTAGGGTACTATACTAGGGTCCCCTATTTTCGGAAGCCCCCATATTGGGGATACCGATTAGAACCCAGCTTGAGGGAGGGGGGGGGTCTACCGATTCAGGCTTCGGCTTCAGAGACTTCGGGTTTGGGGTCTGTAGGGTGACGGGCCCCAAAACCTTGAAACCCCACAAACACACCCTAAACCCTGAACCCGAAACTCAACCTGAAACCCTAAACCCTGAACCCTAAACTCAACCTGAAACCCTAAACCCTGAACCCTAAACTCTGAACCCCAAACCCTAAACCCTGAACACTAGTCGCTGAACCCAAAAGCCCCTGAGAGCTGGCTGCCTGCAGGCGCCCGCAGCGCAACGATGCCAGCAACTGTTCCAGGGCGGAGCGGCAGAACCAGGTAGGGCTCCATTTCAGGCTTCTCCTAAATCCCAACATCCCTTAGTTGCAAAGTTTCAGCAAGACCATATCGGGTTTCGTCTTCTGACTCAGCAGGTGTCAATACTTGAGTGATTTGGGCGCCTCTGGTTCAGGGCTTCCAGAGTTTAAGCAGGGTTTAGCGTTTAGAGTTTGGCATCTGGCGAGTTTTGGGCCGTAAGGGGGCTTATATGGGGGCTTCACTGACTAGGATAGGGTGGGGGGTCCTTGCCCTAGTTGTGATACTACCAGGGGACACGGCTACTAAGTAAAGAAGCAGCTATGCCTAAACCCTTGTGAGCCCCTGTTAAGCCCTGAAAGGAAGCCGAAAACAGTGAAAACCGGTAGCGAACATTCCGACACCCTTCCCCATAGGCCCTAAAGTAGTTCCTTCTTGGGGTTCTCATATAGAATCCTATAAGGTAACCCCCAAAAAAGGAACTACTATGGGGCCTATGGGTATTCTTGTTGAAACCTAGTCTTATTCTTGTTGGAACCTAAACCCTAAACCCTAAACAATAAACCCCAAGCCCTAAACCCTGAAGCCGAAACCCTAAACCCTAAACCCTGAACCGTAAACCCTGAACCCGAAACCCTAAACCCTGAACCCTGAACCCTGAACCCTGAACCCTGAACCCTAAACCCTAAACCCTGA